TGGATATCAACAAACTGATTCTAAAGTTTATACGGAGAGGCAAAAGACCCAGAATAGCCAACACAATATTGAAGGAGAAGAACAAAGTTGGAGGATGGACACAACCCAATGTCAAGATGTAGTAAGGTAAAGTATTCAAGACAGCGTGGTTATTGGCAAAAGATTAGACAAATATATCAAGGAACAGAACAGAGAGCCTAGAAACAGACCTCCATGAATACAGTCTATGATCTTTGACAAAGGAACAAAGGCAATACAATGGAACAGTCTTTTCAACAAATGGCGCTAGAACAACTGGACAACCACATGCAAAAACATGGATCAAGACAAAGACCTTACACTCTTCACAAAAATTAACTCAAAATGGATCACAGATCTAACTGTAAAGCACAAAACTATAAAACTCCTAGAAGATAACATGCAGAAAACCTAGATGACCTCAGGTATGGTGATACCTTTTTAGCTACAACACCAAAGGCACATTTCCATGAAAGAAATATGGATATGCTAGACTGCATTAAAATGAAAAACTTCTGCTTTGCAAAAGATAATGTCAAGAGAATGAGAAGGCAAGCCACAGACTGGGAGAAAACATTTGCAAAAGACACATCTGATAAAGGACTGTTATCTAAAATAGACAAAGAACTCTTAAAACTCAACAATAAGAAAACAAACAACTCGATTAAAAACTGGGCCAAAGATCCTGACACCTCACCAAAGAAAATATACAGATGGAAAATATGCACATGAAAAGATGCTCCACATCATAAGGCATCACAGAAAGGCAAATTAAAACAACAATGAGGCACCACTACACGTCTATTAGAATGGCCAAACTCTGAACACTGACAACACCAAATACTGATGAGGATGCAGAGAAACAGAAAGTCATTCATTGGGATGGGAATGTAAAATAGTACAGCCACTCTGGAAGACTGGCAGTTTTTTACAAAACCAAACAGACTCTCACCATACAATCTAGTAATCATGCTCCTTGGTATTTACCCAAAGGAGATGAAAACTTACGTCCACATGAAAACCTCCACACAGATGTTTATAGCAGCTTTCTCATAACTGCCAAAATCTGGAAGCAATCAAGATGTCCTTCAACAGGTGAATGGATCAGTAAACTGTGGTACATCCTAACACTAGAACATTATTCAGGGCCAAAAATAAGTAAAATGTCAAGGCATGAAAAGATATGGAGAAAACATTAATGTTACTAAGTGAAAGACGCCAATCTCAAAAGGCTACACACTGTATGATCCCAACTATATACGTTCCGGAAATGCAAAACTGGAGAGAGTACAAAGTGGTTGCAGGGCCGGTGCCATGGCCGAGTGGTTGAGTTTGTGCACTCCACTTCGCCAGCCCAGGGTTTCGACAGTTCGAATCCTGGGTGCAGACGTGGCACTGCTCATCAGGCCATGCTGAGGCGGCAGCCCACGTGGCACAGCCAGAGGGACCCACAACTAGAACACAGACTGTGCACTGCGGGGCTTTGGGGAAGGGGAGAGGAGACAAAAGGCCAAGCACAGAGGATTTTTAGGGCAGTGAAAATACTGTGTGACACTGTAATGATGGATATATGTCATTTAACATTTGTTCAAACCTATAAAGTATACACCACCAAGAGTGAACCCCACTGTAAACTAGGACTTGTGTGACTATGATGAGTCAATGTAGATTCATCAGCTGTAACAAATGTACCACTCTGGTAGGGGATGTTGCTAATGGGGGAGGCTACGCATATGTAGTGGCAAGGGATACATGAGAAATCTCTGTACCTTCCCCTCAATTTTGATGTGAACCTAAAACTGCTCTAGAAAAATACAGTCTCTAAAAAAAAAAGTTGAGTAGCTGTGACAGAAACCATAATGGTCCTGCAAAGCCTAAAATATTTACTATCTGTCCCTTTAAGAAAACATTTGCCTGTTCTTGGTTTACTATATTAAATGAGTGATTACATCAAGACACTTAGTTTCTACCTGCCTCTCAAAATCTCACAAAAGACAACTTAAAAATTTTATATCCATTGTAATATAATAAAAATTATCATTAACAAATATTGGGGAACTCACGGGAGAGAAAAAAGTAGACTGGATCAGGCTCCAGAACAGAGATGCTACAACTACCAACACTGAAAACAAAATGCCACTGCAAAAACAGAAACAGTTCTTCACTTAAAAAGTCCCAGAAAAATCCCAACTTCAGAATCAATAAAATAGCAAGAGGCTTGGAAGAAACATCAAGGTAATGTTTATAACTGGACCAGTCTTAGCCACTCCTCCTAGCATATACAGTCCATGTGTCACTTAACAACAGGAATACCTTCTAGGAAATGTGTCACCAGGCGATTTCATCGTTGTGTGAACATCATAGAGCGTACTGAGACAATCCTAGACAGTGTCGCTGACTATGCACCTAGGCTATATGGTACTAATCTTACGGGACCACAGTTGTACATGCGGTCCATCATTGACTGAAACGTCATTATGTGGCACATGACTATATACAGTTATAGACAGCATCAACTTTTACTTCCAAGGTCAAGCTCTCTGACCAACATGGAAACCAAGTCCATGTTCTGCCTTAGGAGACATCTGACCATGAGGCTGAAGCTGGAGAGAGAGAAGCAGAGGAGAGCCTCCAATAATACCAAGACAGGATAAAAAAGGTAGAAAGTCAACAACAAGCAGTCTAGAAATCAAAACATACATATTTTAAAACTTACCTCTAAAAAACAATACAAGTAAACAACAATAGGAAAACCATACAAGACCCCGATAGATGTTACACGGTCAAGTTCTACTAGATTTTCAAATAACAGATGATTTTCCTGTACATAAAGCACAGAAAGAGATGGAAAGCTTTCACCTCATTCTATGAAGGTTGTACAACTATGATACCAAACCAGAAAAGGGTAACAAAAAACAAAACTAGAAAATAAGTCTCATTTATGATTCTATCAAAATCTATAAAATTGTATCTCGCAATGCATATTACAAACCACCATAAGCACTGCGCACAAGGACAAGGCAGGGTTCACTGCAGTAAAGCAAGGCCAGGGCAGCGCTAAGTCCACCAACACGGTTCAGTACAACAATGGCCAAATAAGGTGAAGTCTAACATACACAACTGTAATCCTGACATACATCAAAAAAAGTTTCCAAATTTTAATACTTATTCCTGATTAAAAAAAGAGCAACAAACTCCTAAGAGGTTAAAATAGAAGAAAACTCCCTGAACTTGGTAATTACTGGCAAAATAGCAAAAGCATTCGTCAAAGTCAAATAAAGACAAGGATGAAGACACTCACTTCAACAAGTGAATATTGTACCAAGAGACTTCAGCAATGTGAAAATATATGAAAAATATGTAAGACTAAAATGTTGGGGGAAAAAAGATGAAAACTGCATTATTTATAATGAACTTTTCATCTGGAAAATGCAAGGAAATTGAAAAATAACAATAAATAATACAAGTAATTAGTAAATTGGCATGATATAAAATAAGTACATAAAATTTAATAACTTTCCTACAGACATACAATAACCAGACTTCAACAGAAATGAAAGGAAAGGATTCCATTTAAAAGCATAAATGCCATAAAATAGCTATGAATAAATTTTAGGAGGAAAAATGATACAAGACCAAGACCAACGTGACGAAAACCTTCTTGAAGGACACTAAAAAGATGAATGACCCCCCCCTCAAAAGAAGAGCTATACACATCATGGATGGAAAGATTCGTCATAAAATGTCAGTTCTTTCTAAACAAGACTGAAATTTCAATCACAAGCCCACAAAAGTATTTTTCCTCTTTGCTTTAAAAACTAACAATTCTAATCTCATTTGAAACAACTGATGTGTGAGAATTACCAAAGAAAATCTTCAAGGAAAAAACAGAAAGAATATAAAGGGAACTTAGTACCTTGTAGATACTAAAAGTTTTCAATTTAAAGCTATTGGAAATGAATTAGGGTGGCACATTAGGAGACAATATCTGTAATACATTTAACAACGAAAGGTTAGTACAAAAAATGGCTTTTGAATTAATAAGTAGTCGTGCTCTAGAAAAGAGGATGAAGGAAGTGAAAAGGCACTTTACAGAAGGGGAAAAGCAAGTCTTATTTGCAAAGATGAAACATCACACAAGCATCTGGGGAAATGCAAATTAAAATGCTAAGATGTCTTTTTTTTTTTTAAACTTTGGCAAACTTAAAAAATAGCAACTTTAACTGCTGTCAGGAATATGAGGAAATAGGTACCATCACGTAACTGATGGGAATATAAACTATTACAATCTTTCTGGAATATAATGTGGCAGGATTTATTAAAATATAAAATGAACACATGATACTCAGAACTGCAATTCCATATTTAGGAATCATCCTATAAGTACACATACTAACATTCTGAAAGACTTGGTACAAAGATTCACCACTTTATTACGAACAACACGCAACGACAAAAAGCCCTAAATGTTCATTAATGAAGAAATAATTTAAAATTCTGGATAAGACTATGCTATGGATTACTATGCAGCAATATATTAAAAAGTATCAATAATAAAGTAGATTGATATGTACTGAGATATAAATATTACACAGAAGTCTGTGATTCTAAGGAAATAATACGATCCTGTTTACGTAAAAAACAAAAAATTCCAAATCTAAATATGTTTGTGTATGCAATTACTTAAGAGACACAGATACTTAAATCAAAGGCTCATGCCAAATTATTCTCCTCGTTTTCTAGTAAATACCTTCATATGCCATGTCATCATATGTAGGAGGCATCATTAATTATAAAATATTTTTCACAATCTTTAAAATGAAATATATTACATGCTGTTTTACAGCAACTAGCTATGGGTCAAACTTATCTAATTATATAAGTATTTTGGCCAAAGTTTATATAAAGACAGTGTGCAACATTTTAAATCTGACATTCAGGCCATCTTCAGCATGTTAAAAGGAGAATTTAATTGTGCTTACCGATTTCATTAATCACTGCTCTTATTTTGGAGACAAAAGGACCAACTTCACTGGAATTCATTTTGACTCTTTCCTTAAGGTCAGCACCTGCAAAGCATTTTATTTACAAATATAATCTAGTTATAAACAAAATTTTAAGGCAATGAACTGAAAATTCACATAAGATTCACATATATATAACATGAAGATTGACTGAATTTATCTGTTAAGTGTTCCTTCTCAAAGCCCAGCATGAGGAAGAATATTTGTCTGTTCATACACCTACCATGTGCTTAAAGTAGTGGTTCTCAAACTTCGTGGTCTCAGGATCCCTTTACACTCTTAGAAGAAGAGACTTTGTTTAGCTTATACCTATCAATAGTTACTCTATTAGAAACCGAAACTATAAAATTTGTGAAATATTTATTCACTTAATAATAGAAATAAACCTATTCATATTAACATAAATGACTACAAATTGATTCCACTTCCTTGGTTCTTGCAAAGGGGCTGGCAGTTTTACCCACTATTGCTTTTGCCCCATCGGTGCAAATGTCCACCCAGTGAAAAGGGTGAAAACCAGGCCTTACTGCTGTGAAAACCCTTCCGACTTCAGGGACACCCACCCTGGTTTGAGAATCACTGGCTTTAAAGTATGAACAAACAACTTCATAATTATGAGTTTATCACAGCATAACTCTGGAACTGAGAAAAATATACAGAAGGATTTCTTAAGGGATCATTTACTCTGTGACTCAACAAAGACATCCTCTTCAATAAAATTAAACTGTCTCCGAAAAGGCAGGTCCCCATTTAAATAAATAGACAAAGTAACCATAAAAGGTGCACACTCAGCTACTTACTCTATTAGTCCATTATAAATTGATCATGACTGGACATAGCATCAAGCAGCAGCTGACACCGGGACATTCTGAGCCCATACACCTCTGGGGGGACCGGGAACTGCAGCTGACAAAGCCCATACCTCCCAACCCATCAGTTCTTAGGTATACAACCCCTAGAAAATCCCTCAAACATGAGCCCAAGGAAATACATACTTTACCATTCAATGCAATACACGTAAAACTGCAAAAAACTGGAAGCAAATATCCACCAAAATGATTAATAAAACTGGGACATATTTATATAAAAGAATATTATACGTGCAGCATGAAAATGAAGGAATTAAGAGTATAAATATGGATAAATCTAACAATGTTGAAGGACATATATATAATTATATATATGAATACATGTTAATATAATACATATAATTTATAATTATACATAACTACAGAAAGATACACAGGATAATAACCATTTATATAAGTTTTTAAAATAAGACATATTTAGGGATATAAAATATGAATGGAAATTATAAATAGCAAATTCAGTTGGCAGTGACCTCTGGAGGGAGAGAGATGGGACTGGCAATGCACACAGAAGACTTCAATCTTATTTGTAGTATTGTATTGCTTAAGTTACATGGTGGGTACTCAATATATTGGTCTTTCAACATTTTTGGATGCCTATATATGTCTTCATAATTAATTTTTCCTATGAAGAATTAAAATTTACCACAGAATAAAAATGTTAGTAAGGCCAAAACAAATTCTGAACTAGTAGGATGTATTTGTTAAAAGAAACAATGGTTCAACTCACTGTCATTTAACATTGAGAATATAATTTTAAATTGAAAATAGAAAATGTTGCTTAGTACATATTGGCTAACACATATTGGTTAATAAAAGTAGCTAAATGTAGCACAATACAGGGGAGGGGAACAGAGAAAGAGGAGCAGAGCAGTGAAGAGGAGGTCTATGGGAGAGACAGCAACTCTGGATGAGGTGGTCCTGAAGGAGCCCCCGTAACTGTATCATGAGATCCACGAAGTCCTCCGGTCTCACAGTGGCTTACACCATTAGGGTGCCCTCCAATACACCACCTAGTGCTCCTATGGGGGGCTTTCTCCAGCATTCTGACTCTGTGACCACACAGCATGATCTGAAAACCACACTCAGGTTACAGAGACCAGGCTGCCGGAAGCCATGCCAGGAGCTAAAGGGAATCAAGGTTTGCTCTTGACAGGTGTGGCCCCTTTGCTGCACACCAGCCCCAGCAGAGAGGTGTGAGAGACACGTTCCAGTTATCCAGTAAAGCCTCATCCACACAACCATGTGAGACTTCAGGATTCAAGGTTTATTTTGAAAATAATTACCTTTCTTCATGGAACGTGAAACATCTGTAACTTCGAGACTACTTTTTAAAAGTTTTAATATCCTTTTTGTTTTTACTTAGGAAACATACCCTGAAAACTCAAACATTCAGAACCTAAAAATATAGTTTCACCTCTACTCCTTCTGAGATCATGAATTTTTTATATGACAGCATCCAAAGTTTTATTTGAGGACTAGTATTTCTAAATTCACTGTTTAAAAAGTAAAAAGTGGGGGCTGGCCTGTGGCATAGTGGTTAAGTTCACATGCTCTCCTTTGACTGCCTGGGTTCACATGTTCGGATCCCGAGCATGGACCTATACCACTCATCAGCCATGCTGTGGTGGTGACCCATATAGAAAATAAAGGAAGATGTTAGTTCAGCGCAAATCTTCCTCAAGTGAAAAGAAAAAAGCAAAAAGTAAATACTTTTTCACTTTTTAAATTGTCTAAGTCCATGACCACTCACCTCAGGCGAGCCCTTATGCTGCTTGGCAATTCTACTGTGTTTCCCTACTCCATTCACTCTCCTATTCATCTACAGTCCCTTTCATAACTTCCCTCCCTCCTCAAACCTCAAAACCTCCTACCCAATCTGATACCAGCTTACTAAGAAAACAGAAGTATTCAGAAGAGAAATTCCACCAGCACCCACCATCAAATCTGTCCACCTACCAGAATCTGAACCCATACACTCTGCCCTCCCTCCCATTACTATAGATGGATTAACTCATGACGGAGGCCAAATGAGCCCCTTAGGCACTAGATTCCACTCCTTCTTGTCTCCACAGGGACATCACTCCAGCAACTATCCTCTTCCTGGCTGGCATCATCAACAGTATCCCTCTTTAGAGAATCATTCCCATGAGCTACAGTACCGCTATAATACAATCATGCACCACATAATGACGATTCAATCAACAATGGATGATAAGATTAGTACCATACAGCCTAGGTGTGTAGTAGGCATACCACCTAGGTTTGTGTAAGCACACCCTATGATGTCCACACAATAAGGATATCACCTAACAATGTATTTCTCAGAACATATCTGTCATTAAGTGACACACGCCTGTACAGCTCATCTTAAAAAAAAACTTGCATGGATGGGGCTGGCCCAGTGGTGGAGTGATTAAGTTCGCATGTTCTACTTTAGCAGCCTAGGGTTTACAGGTTCAGATCCTGGGCGAGGACTCAGACACCACTCATCAAGCCATGCTGTGGTGGCGTCCCAAATACAAAACAGAGGAAGACTGCCACAGATGTTAGCTCAGTGACAATGTTCCTCAAGCAAAAAGAGGAGGGTTGGCAACAGATGTTAGCTCAGGGCCAATTTTCCTCACAAAATAAAAAAAAGTTGCATGGACTTTTACTGGTAGCTCTGATGGAACAGCTGATGATGCTGATGATGGTGATGATGATGATGATGACGCACTGTCGGCGGGACTGTAAATTGGTGTGGCCACTATGGAAAACAGTACAGAGGATCTTCAAAAAATTAAAATAGAACTATGAAATGATGCAGCAATTTCAATTCTGGGACTATATCCAAAGCAAATGAAAACACTAACTTGAAAAGATATCTGCACCCCCATGTTCACAGCAGCATTATCTACAACAGCCAAGACACGGAAACAACCTAAGTGTCCATCAATGGATGAATCGATAAAGAACTTGGGGTATACAGGCAATGGAATCCTACTCAGCCTTAAAAAATGTGGAAACCCTACCATTTGTAATAACACAGATGGACCCTGAAGGCATTAAGCTAAGTGAAATAAGTCAGAGCAAGACAAATCTGTGATCTCACTTAAATGTGGAATCTGAAAAAAAAAGAAAGAAAAACCAAACTCACAGAAAAAGAGATCAGACTTGCACTTACCACAGGTGGAGGGCAGGGAGGGAATTGGAGGAAGGTGGTGAAAAAGGTGTATACTCACAAACACACACAAACACACGTGAAAAGGGTTATATAATTTGAATGAAACTGTTCATCAACTGACATGAGTGGGCCTGGAATATCCAGTTTTATAAAAACTGATTCCAGATTTCAAATATATCTCTAATAGGTGATCATTACTTCTGGTCCTTGCACTCACATTACAGAAATGCAGTGCTTTTGAAAATTTCTATGGCTCATAATTTTGTTGAGAAAAGGACAGCCACATTCTTTACTGCATGATTGTGAAATATTTTCATTTTTAGATTTATAAACATCAGTTAGAATGACCAAGCCAATGATTTGTTTTCAGTTCTATATCATCTATTCCCTTCCTATCACCTTTGTATGCATATCTGCCTTCAACACTTTTCACTTATAAGGTACGTCAAGTAAATATTCATGCACAAATATTATATGAAATGCAAGAATACCATCACACAGCCTTTTAGTAAAATGGGATGGTCCAAGTTCTTGTCACAAAATACTGCATGATGAAGTCCTTCTTACCAAGTGACTAACTGGACGCGAATTCCTTATTTCCTTTATATAAACCAGAGAAATCTACTGTTCACTCATCAATTCTTGAGTTCAAGAAAATTCATTTAGGATATCGTCATCTGATGACTCACAGTCTAAGATTTCACTCATATGACCAACTTCACCATCATGATTAGAGAGAGTCCTGCTGTCACTTTTGATCATTATTTTATCTATCTAATAACTGTGAAATGTCTTCTCTGTTACCTTTTCTATTCTTGGCCATTACGGCTAGAAAATCAAAAATTCTAAATTTTCACCTGTGTTCAATGAAAGCTGAAACAAAGACTAGAAAAATGGTGCCTCCAAACTTCGTTTATATTTTCTTAAAAGATAATGCAATTCTTGAGGCAATGCAATAAAAAAAAAAGATAATGCAATAGCAATGATTTGACTATTACGTCATCTTTCTA